AATGGATAGCCAACTGCCATGGGCTGGGACGCCATTCAGGCCTGTACTGCGGCTCGGCGGGGGGGGGGGAAGGGCTACCTGCCAACGCGATGAGCACAATGGAAGGATACGCGGCAGCTCAGTCCCACTGATCACTGTATGGAAAATACATACATGTATGGTCAAAAAAAATGCTACGGAAATGAGTCTAACCGCTGCCTCGATCCCAGATAATCCATGCACTGCGCAAACAGAGTCCGCATTGAGATTGAGTGAACCAAGTATCTCCCTCATCCGCTGAATCGCAAATGTGTGGACAGAACAAGTAGTATTTTAAGGGTCTTAAATTTGACTAACCCCAACTCTCTCAGGGGCAGCCAATAGTACCAACTAAATGTAAATGTGCAGAATGAGAGATCTATCCGTTTGCTGGAAGAGAAGGATGCACTTGGAATAATAGGCACGTGGTAAATGGATGTTTCAGGAAAGTCCGTACTGGTTTGTCCATTAGCGACTGCCAAATAAACAACACGCTTTCTCCAACATTTTGAGGTAAATGACCTGGAGAACAAAGTTGGCTGTATCGAGACTACTGCAGAGTCATCTAAATGTGTCAGTAATCATATTTCACGTACAGCCAGTTTTGCAGCCGTCATTTGCATATAATGTAAATTATCTTGAAGTGCGAGCCTGTTGAAACTTGTTATCTCAGAGAGATAACAGTAAGATTTTCTAAGTCAGCAATGAGCAGGTTCAGAAATTATTCCAAATTATTTAAAAAATACATATATATAACAGATTTGTTGCTATGTTTGATTACTCAGGCATGATAATCGCATGCTGTATCTGAATGTGCAGTGAACATCATGACATCAGAGTACTGATAAAAATTCACTTTATATACAACTGATGTATTATAAATGGACATGTTACGCATTATATAACAGATCAAAAGAGAAAACAGATTTTGAGCAAATTCATAACAAACTGGGGCTGTCAGGTTCCAATATTTGAGGGAAGACCAGGACCAGATGGGAACGATGAGTAATAGATGACTATTCAATAAATGCATTAGGAAAATCTTGCGCAGGACATGTAACGAAGACCTAGCGTTCTTTAAATTGATTTCTGCGAAACTGGGGATTGCGTAAAACGTGATTGTCCACTGCAGAAATAGCAAATGAAATGGCCTTCAATACTTTGATCACACAGAGACATCATTTCATGGTTCATCTTCTAATTTCAAACTTATTTGGTTACCCAGATAATTTGTGAAGTTATCGTGGATACTCCTTCATAACATGCATCATTTATAAATTATGCTAAAGTTTAATTAGAATTTTAACTGTTTGTTTGTTTAGGTAAGCAAATAAACAAACAATTCTTATATATGAAAATTTAGTCTTTGTCTGCCCTTTTTTTTCCTGATTTGCAGTCCAACACAACTAAGCATACAAATGTCTGTGCTCTTTGTCTGAGCTTTCATGGGAATAAAAAGTAAAGTCAGTCCTCTGGGAGGTGTTTGTTCCCAGGAACTGGCTTTATCATCAAGCTGGGAAGGACAGAAGCGTGATTAGCATGGCCAGGCCGGCTCCCGAATCCCGAATCCGCACGCACGGGGCATCTTCTCAGAAGAAATGTGTCCTGTGTTGACGTGTTGAGTCTGACATTTTTCCTTTGAGTAATAATAATGAATCGAACCCCTTATTTTTTCTTGAATTTCTTTTTTTTTTTTTTTTGGTGGGTGGGGAGGGGTGGCTGTATACAATTTGTAAATTGATGGTCCGTGTTAAATCGCTCCTTTCATCCGCTCCCAGAGCTGCCTTGCAGTGCAGTGGCTCTGACAGATGGTGGGCTGGACGCCTCACACAAACCCAGCACAGCTGGACGGAGGACTCAAAACTGCACATTCATCGCGGCGGCCCGAACGTCGCTTCGCCAAACACGGCGCCCAAACAGCAGAAAAGGGGGCGGCCTTCCGACCTGCCCCCCCCCACCCCCCGCAAACCTACTGTCTGGTGTTTTGATCTAACTCGTTGTCTCTGTGCTGACATGCAGAGACGTTAAGAATCCCAAATGAACATTAGAAATGGGGAGGCGGAAACAGACGTTTGTGAGTGATGAAATTAAAAACAAATATGTTCCTTTGTCTATCGCAAATCTTCCATATTTTAAGGGAACAGTGAGTCAAGTAGTTGACAGCGGTAAAAACGGGAGACTCCATTGCCTTTGATTTGACAAGACTGTGGGTGTGAATAAAGTGACTGCTGTTACTAAAGAACATTTCAAGTGACTCATACTTATGTTTCAGTCTGTTTTTTGCAGTCAGGAGAACATAAGTGACGTGACACGTATAAAAACATCACCCGTAGTGCTGCTAATTGTTTAGCCTCTATGTAATATAAAATACTGCCTTTCATTTTATTTATTCAGTAGTTTGTCTAATTTAAATGAAAGATAACAAAACTCTGCTGTTAGGTCTCTTGTAAATTCTTTCTTTGAGGAAGCGGTGTCATAGCCCACGCATGGCACTGACATCATCACAGACTGATGGGAAATGAATGATTACAACTGACATGGAAGCTGATGAACAGAAATAGCACAAATATTCAAGTTATCCTAAAATATACAGTATAATTTATTGCTGCAAAGTACTAGCCAGAATTTCGGCTTCCTTGCCGAGCCACTGTGCTCACCGTTATTATGTCTCCCAAACAATCCGACCAAAGATCCACAGTGTGGAAATAAACAAAAACGGAATACTTTGGGACATTCTGAACAGATTCCAAGCTGTGCATCTGTCACATGCAAAATGCAGAAAGTCTCCTCTAGAGAGGATTCACTGTGAAGCACACTGAGACGGCAATGTGGTCGACTGGGTTACGTCCTGAACACTGCATCACCAAAATACCCCCCAATCAATGACGCAAACAAGGAAATCTATTTGAATTATTAGAGGTTAGCGCTAAACGGTCCACTGGTTGTGTTCCTGTCCTTACTTCATGCCCTGTGCCTCCCTGGATAAGCTCCAGACTGACTGTGACCCCTGAGCTGGATAAGCAGCTATTAAAAACGGGCACATTGAGGAAGAGATGAGTCAAAAACAAAACGCCACTTACTTGACCACTGAAGATATCTCAGCTCCTCAGACAGTTTATAAAAGCTTGCTCAGCCAAATACTGCAGCTGCCATATGTTTTATACTAAATCTAAGAATAAAAGCTGTGGGCTGTGTAAATAAAACAGGAAGGACATCGAGGTTTACGGGAGGATGGAGATTTTTATGCTGTGTGATGGGCGAAGCGATACACTGAACAAATCATGCATCTTCATGCAGCTCGTTTGCATGAGTAGCTATACAAACAGGCTTCTAGAAACAACAACTTGCGTTTTAAAAGCATTTACTCATATGTGTCAGTCTGTATCAATTTAAAATGCAGTTAATTTGCGTTCAGCCACCATCTCCTTTCCTCCATCACTTTGCTTAGGTCACTATATGCAATGGATTCCATAATTATTAACTGCATTTTTATATCACCTTCTACTCCGTCTCCATCATCTGCAGAATAGCTTGCAAACTCCATATGCTGATAACAAATACAACTGCTAAAGTGTTAAAAGTCAGACACAAGTGAGAGGAGTGTAACAGTTCTGCAAATATGCCCCCCCCCCAAACCCACCCACCCACCCACCCACCCAACCCAGGCATGGCGTTTTCTGTTTTGGCTACACACTCGTAGCCATGCACATCACGGCGCTGAGGAAACAAGCATGCAACTCTGTGGGGCTGAGG